CTGGAGATTTAAATGAGAAGTAATCATCTGCAGAATAATTATCACAGCTTACTGAACCATGTATGATTTGAATTCAACCAAACGGCGAACAAATTTTCCAGAGACCAAATTGGTCAGCCCATGTGGAAATATTATTTTGAATACATTACTGAATATCTGCACAACATAAGATCTGACGGGAGTAAAAGTTGCGTGATGTTTTCCTCTTAGCAGGGTGAATTGAAACAAGATAAAGATGCTAAAAGACTGGTCGATAGTCGTATATCATGGCAATTAGGCTCACTTACTTCAATTTTTCGTCGTGTCACAATTGTTGCGACCGATTGTATATACAGCAGGGTTGATAAAAATCATGATTTTTTTTTGTTTTTGATAGATTTTTTTTTGATTTCTAAAATCAAATAATTCATGATTTATATTCATTATAAACTTGAATTTATATTCACTGTAAAAATTTTTGACTTTATTAAGAAACAACCCCATAAGAAAACTATTATGTCTTGCTTAGCTACACTACAGTTGACGTTGGATGCAATGAGTTTACACCTGAACGAAAAAGTTGTCACGTCGAATGTTGAATAAAACTACCAATAAGGGTTATGCCATTTGCTACATCAGTGGGCTTTTTCGGAGCTACTCTCGCGGGTCACCAATAAGAGTCTAGCTTTCTTCAAGAATCCGCCTAATAACTTCGCCGTGCCGATGCGTACTTGATGCATTTAATATTGCTTTAAAATATATTTGTAAAAATGTTGCTCACAGATGTGGCTTCCTCTGCATCTGTAGAAAAGATTTTTTCTACATTTGGTCTGGTCCAATCTAAACTTCGAAATAGGTGGGAAATGAGAAGACGGCGAAATTGGTGTTCCCTTTTCAATATCATAATGAATAAGTGTTGATTGATTTTCTTATTTGTCAATAGTTTGTTATAATAATATATAGTTAACATTAATACATGAAAACTGTATATTTGAATATGTATTTTTATCAAATAAAATCTCTTGATATAAACACTGATTTGAATCAAATGTTTTAAAACACGTAACCCTGATTTACAAAATGATTGAAAAATAGTATAATTATTTCTAGAACAGAAAGTGTATCCGAAATTATCAAAAAAGGTTCCTATAAACCTAAAGTGTCCCATTACCAAGATACATGGTGTTCAAAATTTTTACTTCACCGACGAGCATCAAGGACAAAACATAAATATTCTTCAATTAACACTGTGGTAAGTTTGTATTACTCCCCTTATACACTTAAAATATATGGGTTATAATAGGAATGCTGGCGACTCACTTTTTCCACTTTTTCTCACTTTTTTCAATCCATCTCAGTTTTACTAACTTTTTATTGAAAACATTCACTTTTCTCAGTATTTTCGCTCTCGCTGTGCATATTGTAGTTTATAAGCGTTATGAAACTGAATGAAGTGTTTTTTTCATAAAAATCAACTTTGACAAAGCTGTCCATGTAGAGGGTTCTCCCCAAGCTCAGCCAATATGTATTACATGAGAAAAGACTAGGATTAGTTAAACGCTACGTTGAATTTCAATTCAGCTTTGCTAAAAGCACTCTATATATATATATATATATATATATATATATATATGTATGTATGTATGTATATGCGCTATTGATTTCAAATTCGGAAACGGTAGTAAGCAATACAATACAAAATCGTTTGTGAAGGCAAAGTTGCGCTTTTATGTATCTAATAAAATGTTACTTAGATTGTTTGGCAATTCAGAGGATTCTAAGAGAGGCAGAAAATACGAATTTTCCCTGAACCGTTTCTCCTGGCTTAATTTGAGTTGGGACTCCAATATACAGTGGAACTTTTTACAGGCCTTGTTCAAGTAACAACATCCATGAACTGAATTTTGAACCAATTACCCTTAACCATTCGAACTGAAATTTTGTATGCCTGTTAGGTTCATGTGACAATACATAATGAATTAACTGCCGCCATTTTGAATCTAATATGGCACATACTACATAATTACATGATCAAACGAACTTACCTGTAAGTGATGTTCGATCTTAATTATGTGAAGTCCTCGTCGAAGTAAATAGCTCCCTCCCTCCCTATGTTGCAACAACTTGGCTTTGAATTAAATGAAGGTTTATAGGCGGCCAGAGGGGAGAAAGGTAGGGGGAAGGGACTCGGTGCCGCTTTCCTTCTCTGCATGCGCGCTTTGAAACCGTGGCGGTTGGGTACTACTACGAGGGTACTACGATATGTATTCTAAATATTTACTTCGACGAGGACGGAACATAATAGCGATTTATTATTTCCATAGTATATGTTATGGGTAACGAATGGACGAGCTTGATGAGAGAAACAATAAGCGAACTGACACCATTCAAAATCCAATATGAAGGAGGCCGCAATTTGGCGATTTATAATTTCCTATAATATGGGCATGAGATGAAAGAGCTTGAGCGAAACACAATAAGCAAAATGTCTTTTCAAATCAAATATGTCGACCGCCGCAAGATGTCGTTTATAATTTCTATAGTTACTCCTATGATATGGTTATCGACTCAAACGGCTTGATGAGAGTGATGCAGTAAGCAACGTGACGTCATTCTACATCCAATATGGCCGCCGCCGCAAAATATCGATTTTCAATTTCCATACTCACCCCCATGTTATGGATATCAAATGAAAGGGATTGATGAAACAAACTCAATAAGCAAAGTAACGTCATTCTAATCCAATCTGGCGGAGGTTTAATATGCCAATTGACAATGCAATATTATTATGACTAAGATTATAAGTACTCAACAGGAACTTTAAAATGAGGTTTAAAAAATGCTTCAAAATGGCACTCCGCCTCCATCATGAAATTTTCAACTGCCACTTTTACGCTAGAATATAGTACTAATCGATCATTTTCATCATCATAAATTTCAGCTTGACTTGTTCAAAAAATATGTTGGAGGCTTTTTGAAAAGCACTGCATAATGAAATAATGCGTAACTAATTACTGAAAACAAATCATTTCTGTTTACTGAAAGCAAATATGTGAACTATAATTTGTGTCTAAGAGGCACTGAATACATCTTTCATTCAGCTATCAGGACGTCTTGTACTATCAAAATAATGGAAATAAGACGTTACACTTATTCCTAGAAAGCGTTGATCCATCTGAAAAAGCCGTTATAAAAGAATCAGTTTACATATAAAAAACCCTATTCAAGATAATTTTAATATATCCTGAAGTACTTTGAATAATTTTGATGTACCATTTGTGCTTATAAATGTTAAAATTAGTGAAATGGAAACTATTATTAACCGCGCATGGCAGTGATCACTCTTACCGTGGTCCAATAATTTGAAAATGTAGTGTTTTGTATCGTATTTAGATACTAGATATAATAATAATAATTATGATACGTGAATATATTCGGTCTTTGGATCCTTTTTCAGAACATGAAAATGTAGCGTTTAACGTCCAAACATCGGAGTTAAGTACGTAGATTGACTTCCCTGGCATTCATGTAAATCTAATTTCGAGGTACTCACATATACAAATTCTGAACCCTTTATGTATGTTTGAAGCTTCACTGGATTGTTCTTGAGAAACATTAAACAAATAGGGGTTTTGAAAGTTTTAGCACACAAAAGATTGTTGACCCTCCTACAACGTACCTATGTAGTAATTTAAGTTGCCAAACGTCGAACAGTAGTGTTTGCTCTTCATCGAAAATGCTGACACCTCAAAAGAAGTTTTTACTACCAGTTATAAGTAAATTAAAGCTAAATGACGTTTTTTACCGATTTGAATTTTGTGTTGCTGGATGAACATTATTCAGTACAAATAGTAATACATATTTAGATATGAAAATTGTTTGTCAGTTCTTTTTCATTTAAATAAGAAATACAAATAATAGTGAAATATTTTTAATTCACGAAAAATCAATACTCGCTGTATGGTGAGCGCTTCAAGTGAATACTCAGTCTAAACTAGAACTACCTCTCAAAGTAAGGCACAAAAGTCAGTCCTAATTATCATAGTCAATACTCGACCTTGAGATTGACAAGAGTGGTCGGACCCAGCTTGTAGCATTTACTTTTTAATAAATTGAATCCATTATATGTCAAGACATTATTCGCAACGGCTTTAAGCTATACCTAAGGAGTTAAGCGTTATGGTCTGCAGAATTTTGTAGGAGCTTATAGCTTTTTGTTGCCACATAACTTTGTGAAAATTTCTGCATATGGGCCAGGCGGATTAAGTATAGATGACCCTTTACTACCTTAAGCAAACACTTGCTACTGAAAGCTTGGGCTTCCTTGCATAATAATAAGCTTACGCAAGTATTTGATACTTATCCTGTTTAGAAACCTGCAAGTAAAATCTAGAGTGGTCACATTTCTTATTCAACTGACCCACTGTTGCAAGATGGACTAGTACTAGAGCGTTCAATAACAAGCATATCACCAATAAAACTGCTTTGATCCGTCTGCCCAACAGTGGATCAACCGTATACATCTGTTTTATTGTTACTGGCAATCATCAGCATAGTTCTGATGATAGATAGACTTGTGTTTGGACTATTTAGATAGACCTTCTACTTCTGATAGAGGATATTTTGATCTGCTTTCGCTTGTCCTACCTAGAGACGTAAACCATACTGATGGTCGCCAATAAGCATGAAACAGCTCTACACGGTGGCACTCTGTTCACGGACGGACTGGAGTAATATTGCTATTTTAAATGGCGAGTAGATCGTCATCTTCTGTATCACTAGTATCGACAACATCAAGCGGTCATTGTGAGTCGGCTATCGACGCGAACTGAGATATCTAGTTCTGATAGAAAGCTGCTACTCACTCTCGCAGTTGTCGATTCTGGAATTTGGTAAAACATATTTGCACATTTTTAGTGTTCATTCAACACGAGCATTTATTTTATTCATTTCGGTAGAAAACCAAACCAATAGCAACTTGTAACATGACAATATCTGCATATGTTTTATTTTGGTTGCAGGTGTAGAGACGCCATGACTCTGTGCACGGTGGGCAGCGCCAGTACGGTTCAGCAGTCACGGGCGGCCAGACGCGTAGGGCGGCTGGGGAGCGGAAAGACTTGTCCTCAAGGAGGCGCCAACAGGCCACGGGATGTGTCTTCAAAGGTGCGCACCACTTATAGGCGGAGCTTAGACCCTTGCGATAACTCGGACGATAGTGGAATTGGGTAGGTACTCAGGTGAAGAGCTAAACAGGATGTCCCACGTATGACTGTGTCTAGTTCTCAAAAAGTTGACGTAACATATTTATGAAAACTTGAATGTATAGTTGATATAACTGGTGGGAGCAATTCGGATATATTTTCTAAATTGTGGCACCTCTGACTGAACCGGAAGTAGATACCAGCTTGTTTATTTTAAGAAGAGTACCCTGTACATATCATATATGTATATCATCCTATACCTGAGTCTAACCGTTTTTGAGATCTTAAATTTTGCGTGTAAAATAACAATTGCAGACCAGTGGATTACAACTGATTTTTGCCTTTGCCATATGGGTTTTTCAGTAGGGGACCTACTTTAGGGTCGCACGTTCCTTTTTTTCGCTTTTTTTTTCATCTACCTGTTAGTCGCAGTATTCTAAATCCCTTTTATCTGATTATTCCATGGTTTGTATAAAGATGACTAAGAAATAATGTTATTTCTTTCTGTTTTGCCAAAAAATCGTTTCAATCGTAACTTATTAATAAATAATAGTACAGTTCTATAACAATTGTATGTGAATACTCCACTTTATGGAAGATTAAAGCGTGTGATTACTTGTTTTCTTATCACCTTTAGAAAAATCTTTGATTTAATAAATTGAGATACGACCGCTCCTGCATCCCTATGGTATCGAGATTATGGTAAAATCTACATGAAGAGGCTTTTCCCCGTTCTGCTAACATTAGGCAGTTTAAGAATCGGATTAACAAAGATTCTTTAAGCTCATCTTAGCAGCCGCGGTGCCCTGGTATTTAGGCTTCTGCCTGCGCGGCTGAAAAAATGTTACTACTGTCTAGTCAAACGTTATTTATGCCGCGTCAAGGCAAACACCACCATGTGTCTATTGGCCAACGTATCATTTATATGCCCGAGCATGCAATAACAGACGAATAGAACCGTCGATCGAGTGCTCGTGTTTGTTTTGACGTAGTATAAATGAGATTTGAATTTGAATTGGGTTTAGGTTTAAATTAAAATTCAAATATATATTAAAATACAGAAAATTGCCTCTCACGCAGCAAAAACCTTCAAAGCTAGACTCATATCAGTCTTTATTCCACATATCCACACAATTTTCCAGTATGCCTGTTTTGCCGATCAGGCTTTCGCTTCGGTACCAATTGAAATTCTTCCAAGTGAGATTCTGTCATCCAGGGGATGCTGCCTGCATTGTAGCTAACTATTACATCTATAGAAATATTCCGAATTGTCAAAATGCCGTCATACAAAACAAGAAAATATATGAGTATGAACAAAAGCTGAGGGTTAATAAAGGAGGTTTTTCACAGTACTTCCTACTTTAAATCTATTACAAAACATACTGACGCACAAAACATATGTATATAAAAATGAAACAAATACATACATAATTATAATGAGAAAATTTCAGTTTTTTCCTGTTGTGAGACTCTTTCATTTTTATACGTCTGGGGTCTTAGGCTGGCATTATACTATAAAAGTTCTTTGACAAAGATATTTTATAAATTACTTTTACAAAAGTTATACATAAAAGAAATGTTATGGTTACCAAACAGCCTATTACACTACGTGAAAGATTTTATAAATTATTTTAAGAAGGTAGTGCAAATACGGCTATGGACGACGACGTTCAGGTTGCTGTCATATCTAGTTTTACTTTCGGCAGCCATTGTAGTGGCTTTAACAACGAAAAAGAAGAAGAAAAAGACGCGACTGTGCGTAAAACCGTGGATCGCCCGACGTGAGTTGAACAGTATCTACAATATCTTGCTCCAAGAACTGGCAGTGGAAGACCAGAGAAATTATGTTAACTTTTTGAGAATAGATGAGGATGACACATTTACGAAACCCCATCAGCACTGACGAGCGGCTCATGGTGACATTACGATTTCTAGCCACCGGAGAGACTTACACTAGCCTCCAGTACGCCACGCACCATCTGTTTTCCCCCATCTTGACACAACTAGGGAAAATCTTTTATCAAAGGATAAAGATGCTAAATATGATTAAAGAACTTTTATGAAAGTTTGCTTTTATAAAAGTTGGCCCATTTCACTGTCACATTTCTTTTCCAACTTCTTTTATCAAATATCTTTGTCAAAGAACTTTTGTAGTGTAATGCTGGCCTTAGCGTATTTTATTAAAGGTTTTAGACCTAGAAGTAGGACGTATTCAAACCATGCGAAATAGTTAAATATTCAAAAATGGGTGAATTTTGGGCAAATATGTCAACATTGGGAACCTTGGGCTTTTGAATAAACAAAAATGTTAATCAAAACATTTAAACGCAAAAATTTCATTGATGTGATCATCCTGAAATTTTATTTTCAGGGACTCGTTACTGCCAATTAAATATGCTTAAATAGCAATATATGTAAAACATAGATTTCCATTTTATCGTATCATTGTGATTTGGGATTCATTATTGCAATCGCAGTAATAGTTCAAGCTTACTATATAGGAACGGGTCTTCTGAATCGTAAAGTTGTCATAAATAGCTACAGTCTCGATATTCTATATCCAGTTTAAAAACTTGCACTGTAGTTAAAATGAAACGCAAATTAGTTGTTTTTGTTGTGTTCTTTGACCGTCTCGGGCACAGACAATCTTGACAAGATTTTAAAACGCATAGTTTACATATTTACAACGACTTTCAGGTAGATTTTTCTGAAGAAAACTGGATTTTAAAAAACGTACGCAGATATAAAAAAACAGTAACTTTCTTTCTGCCTTGTTCCATTGTTCCAGCAATGATATGAGTAGACTGCAATAAGTTTTCAAAACAATATTTTTGCATCCTTTTCACAGTTGTTCTTTTCGAATGTAACGAGATATTCCAGTATGGATATACAGGTTACAGAGAGGTTCAAAAGCAAAGTAAAATACTTAAGGATTTGGTTGGGTTCATTTTAAGGAAAACACTGCAGTTGAACGTAAATCCCAAACGACTTTTGAGATACAGGTTAGTAAAGTTTGGCATTTGAGCTGAATTGTTTTAGATAAAATTAGGGATATTGCTTTTTACTTCATACGCCTACTGGCGAGGAAGTATTGTTAATGCGAAAAAATTAGAAAATGAAGTACTCCGTTTTTTTGGATCTTATATGACATGCCTGTCCGTTAATGCTTCACACAGAGGTACAGAAAAGCTTTTAAGTTTTTGAAAATTGGTCTAGCAGCGGCAGCATGAAGGGCAAATAACGAAATAATATAAGTCGCACTAACTTCGTTTTTTGATTTTTCAGCTGTTCCTGATCATCAGAAAAAATTAGCGTTATCATACGGGTAGGGCTATGGATTATGGACTAAATATGTGGACCTGTTTGGCTGATTTGGTCCATGTAATTTTCGAAAATTGATGCGAGGCCACGTGCATCCATTCTGTTATACTATTTTGATTGACTATTGCTATAAGATATAGCCATTAACATAAGGCGCTGGAAATTCAAAATTATTTATTGTAAACCATTCCTGGAAGATATTGTATTTCTCCAGATTAGGTTACAATCACTCATATAATAAAAATCATTTTAGATATTCACCACAAACAAATATCCTGGTATGCGTTGTCAAACGATCACGTTCATAACATAGATAATGCCTCGAATTTGATAACATTCTCGTACACAAATGCTTGTTCTCTTTGTACTTATCATGTCCACCAACAACGAATTGTATGCCTTCACAAACTGGTAATCCCGTCTGTAGAGGCACAAAAAAGCGTGAACTAGTAGTCGGTACTTATACAGGGTGTTCCTTTCCGAGTTTAATTGCTAAGATGATTTCGTAGAAACAGTTTATATTGCGTTCATAGCGGATCATTTTGTTGCTATAACCAGTTGACGATCTAGTGTCTCGGAAGATTAAAGCGAAGCACAAAGTTTGTAAGTGCCCCCGCTGGTGACTGGATAGTTGAAGAGCGGCGGGAAAGGGGGGGTGCGTATTGGAGCCTCATGATTTTGTCTATTCTGAGGCTCCCCATAAACCGCGTTCCGGGGCCCTTGAGTCCCCGGACCCGACACACCAGTGTCAACTTAAAAATTCATCCGACTATAACCCGACGCTTAAAGGCTTAGTTCCTTTTACAAAGCTTGGAAAGTACTTCAGATGTCATTTTCAATGTTAGTACTTATGACAAGATGAGACCACATTATTTTAGTAGCAAAAGTTAATCTGTAGCACGGCAATATTGTCATAAGATGAGCTGCTTCAATGTTTCCATGTCTATATTTTCCTCATTAGACTGATCAGTTCTGCATAAAACATTAACTTCAGCATTATTATCATTCATTTCAATTTTTGAAATAATTGAAAATATTCTCAACACCATATCTAAGCCGTTGTTAGTTCATATTAACAAAATGTTTTTCACGATCCTTCAATACGCGCTGAAGCATATTTGAGTGTCCCCTCTTGTTATTTTTGTACTATTGGCAATAATAAATCTGTGAACATTCAGTAGCGTATCAAAACTATTATTTAAAAAGTATTGATTAAGTGTGTATGATGATTATAATTCACATATATATTGGTTCGTTTTGATAATATCTGAAACTATCCTAATTACTTTATGCAAAATAACTGACGTAAATGCGTCGTAGACGCTAGTGAGTACGCCTCGTCACTTGACGATATGGAGCATTTTGAATGTCGCTAAATAATCAGCTGTTGACTTTTGCCGTATTGATCTGTGGAAAATTGTGTATAAGTTTTCCTTCATAAAAGGAGCCTCTGTACATCGCTGGTTAACGCGTCGAGCTAGCAACCTGGGGGTCGCGGGTTCGAACCATGGATGAAGTGTGTTGTCGGTTTCACGCTCGTGGGTGCATATTAACGTACATCTCATCATTGGAGCTGGTTTATTTAACCAGATACCAGTAGATGGCTTGAGGAGTAGAACAGTGCTGGTACTACAAGGTCGGCAAAAAGGGTCAAAGATGGCCTAGTTGCCAGACTTCGTCTTCCCACCTCTACTACTACTACTTCCTTCATAAAATAATCAGGATTCACACCATGAAGATAAAAGCACCTCTTTTTCTGATGTTAAATTGTTTGAAAATTTTGCTACGCCATATTTCCAAATATAGTTCAGTTTATCATCCACAGTTTTTTTATTTACGAAAATTCAACTAGGGAATTTTGAAAACGCACTGCATTTGTATATTTTCAAATGGATTTATTACGTACCTACCTTATTTATTATCCGGCGAACGATTATGCGGCTAAACTAGTTATATGGACAATCGTAGAAAGCTGCTGTTTTGGGTCAAACAGTCCGTTAATCAATATAAAAAATAACCCATAGGCGATTGTTTTTTATTGGTTGGATACAATCCTTTGAATGCTTAATACCTGTGATAAAGTGTACTCTCTCAGAAAAAAAGATTTCACTTTTGTGATGTAGGATAGTCCTCACTGGTTGCAGTCGTTTTTTGATTCATTAAATCGTTATTTAAAAAATTTTATTGTTATTACAAACGCTGTTAGATAAGTGATTTAACAATACTTACTCATTGACACAGTGGATATGATTTATTACAATTGATTATAATCACACATATATACACTTCAAGCTGCATATCCATTATCGCCTCATCATGCTAATAGACCCCTCATAAACCTTACATATAAGGAAAGATTTATAAGCTATTTTTTTAAATGTAGTATGTTAAAGATCTTAACACAAAAAATCTGATGGTTTGTTCACGAGATTCAGGCTTTCCAAGTTATCCAGTTTGTACCTTAGTATAGCTTATTGTGTGTTTGATGATATTTTATAGCTGTTCGATACTTATTTATCTAAACTTGCATGGACGGAGTGTTGCCCGAGACACAAACTTTTCCAAAACATGTTCACATTACGACGTTTAGACAACCATGGTGACCTTTTTCAAGCAAAGTGACAATAAATTTTGTTTATATGTCTTCAGGTGATAGTTCATTTAATTTTTCTATTCTTCATTACTATACAGTGAGTTGCAACAACAGCCTGAACAGTCCTGTACCATGCCGATATCGTGCGAAGCCATTTTTTAAATTTTAAGATGGTGCCGCGTAAAACCAGAAAAGTTCAGGGTCACCTGGGCTAGGCATTCCCTCTCCCAAAGGACATCCAGCCTCTCAAAGCGACAGGCGAGCATGGGGGTTTTTTGAATGTACCCTCGCTCATCGTCCCAAAAACGATAAACTGTCGCTAAACGCACAACAAACAGTAATTAAAACACATGTGAATTCACTGGTCAGACTCTGGATTCCTATATTTTATATTTTGTCCAAAACATGAAAGTATGTCAACTTTAATAGATAGAACGAATTTCCTTAATATTGTCACATAAACACACTTGACAAGGTTTTTAAAAACAACTTAGAAATATTGAAAATGTTTAAATGAACTATTTGGACGTTTTAACGAACAATGAGATACGTGTTTTTGAGATCTGTACAACTTATTGATTCGAATAATTTCAGGAATAGTTAAATTAATACTTTTGTTGACAACCGGTATTAAGCATACCTCACGATTTTATCTCCTTTGCACTGATAATTGCACGTATAGTACCTGTTGCTATCTTCATTACCAATAGCATTCAAGTATTTTACCGTCTTAACATCAATTTCTCATTTCTTTAAAAATACAGTTTTTGCAAATTGTGCCAATAAGTACTTGCATGTTTTCCCATCATGTAGATACTATTTCCTTTTGACTTCTGGAAAATATCAGTAGCTGTAGCGCAAGTTTTTCTCCAATTTGAAAAATGTTTGACATCGAACTATATTAATTATTTCGTTGATTTTTCAATTTTACTTCCTTTGTGAGTGCATATTCTGTACATATTTGTAGGTTTCTACCTTACACAATTATATGAAAACAGAAAATAAGAAATAATAAAAACTACGAATTGCGAAGCCTGATTTGGTTCAAAATTTAAGATGAAATATCCATTCTCACCAATTTAGGCTATTTTCTGTGAAATGGTAAACTTCCAAAACTTCTTTAAAAGGTGTTAATGCAATATATTCCAAAAGCTGCTGTATTATTTAAAACTTTTACCCTCTTTGACTGTTTGAACCATCCTGACCCTCCAGGTAACTTTATTTACATACCCTCAACTGTATTAGTTTAAGCCATTACATTAATGTTGTCGCTACGTACTATAAAGAAGTCCTCAACCATTTAGATAATCAACATTGATTCATTGCAGTAATTGCATTGCTAATTCAGGTCATTATAACAATATAACAAATTAACATTTTTATATTACAGGTTTGATCACCACTTCGATTCGCATCAACATTCGGCATGCGGTGGTCTATCCGGAAGACTTACCTGGAGTGGGGAGCCTGCCGCAGCTAAAAGGCCTAAGCTGGATATCAAACTCGAACATGAGGAACAAAATGATAACTATTGCTTTCCTGAATCCATCAAGATGTACAAAGAAGATATCTCGTAAGTTTTTGGAACAACTAAAAACTTATACAGAGTATCTCAAGTTTGAACTTAACCCTCTGCCTCCTACCGATGATGGGATGGGATGACCACCAATATATTCTGACGATACCGTAATAATTACTTGCATATGGTATAGGCTTTTAGTAATTTGATCATATTATATTCATAAGTACTAAAGCAACATACCTATAATATAAAGTTAAACCATCTTGTAATAAAAAATGCATCTGGCGGCAAAGAGTTAAGCTTCTATACGGGAACATAATTTTGGAAAAGAGGTTCAGTACTAGCAATAGTAATTAGAGACCATAAAATTATTTTTGGAAAAATTTACAGTGCTTTTTAAAAAAATCATACCACTTTGTCTTTTGAAAGTGGATGTTGAAATTGATACATGAATACTATATTTTAACTTATCCGACAAATTTTAACCACACATATGCACTGTTACGAAAGAAGTTGATTTCTCAAAAAAAAAGTCCTACAGAAATCGAGATAATAAAAAGTTTAACAGTTCACTTACTTGTAAAAGCTGTTCAAAATTGTTTCCATTGGCTGCAATGCAAGCTTGGATGCATCTAATCCAATTTCGGTGCACTTCCTGCTGTGCCTGAAGGCTCATATGTATTATCGGCAGCCACTGTGACGGTCACGCAGTTCTTCAATATTCTGAACCGGAGTACGGTATACCTCGGTTTTCAAGTATCCCCATAAAAAGAAGTCCAGAGGATATAGACCGAGAGATCGTGGAGGCCTTGCAATTGGTTCACCCCTTCCGATCCAGCGTATCTGGTATACCTGATTCAAAAAATCACAAACTTCTAAACGAAAATACGGAGGTGCCCCATCGTGCAGAAAACACATCCGTGCTCGGACCGCCAATGGCACATCTTCAAGAAGGACCAGCAAATCATTCCGAAGAAATTCCAAATACTGGTGACCATTCATCCGATCTGGCAATATGAACGGTCCAGTTAGACGTTAATCGACAATATCTGCCCACACGTTTAAAGAAAAATAGCTTCATCGGTGGCCAAAATATCAGCTGTAAAACGGGCATTTCGAGCATTTTCTTGCAACAACCACTCACAAAATCTTACTCTTAGGGGGTAGTCTATAGGTAGCAACGCCTGGACTCTCTAGACGTGATAAGGGTACAGTTGGGCCTCATGTAATATGCGCCACTCTGTTGCATGTGACACTTCTGGGACCGGTTGGGCTAACTGCCTTGTGCTCATTCCCGGATTTTTTTCCACAATATCCAAAATTTCGTCTTCGGCATTCAAAACGCATTGTGAGCGAACCCGACCCCCACCCACTCCACTTCTGGGGCGCCGATCTTCACTAGCATGTGCACGTAAAACAATTGAATTAAATGTTTCTTGATGTGGTATGTGCCTATTCGGAAATTCGTGTGCATACAAACGAGAAGCCGCTCGCGAATTTTGTCCTGCTTCTCCGTACGCTAAAACAATGTCCACTAACTCCTCATTAGTGTACACATATGCCATTTTTATTAATAAATATCTAAAAACATAAACTCGCAAAATACCTTCTTATTTAACTTCACAAAAAATCGACCGTTCTTCATTCAGATCACCCTCGATACAGATTAAACCTTATTTACACGTTCTTATCAGTATGAAAAAACAAAAAATCCTGGTATTGTGTTTTCGTCAGTTGTTTGGTACAACATTTGCTACAATAAATTATTAATGCGTGTTCTACTATGAGGTTGATGAACGCAAGATACAGATATTTATTTTTCAATTTATTATTGAAACTCAGGTTTATTACTTAATTTCTGTAACCCTTGTATTACATTTTTTTTGAGAAATCAACTTCCTTGCTTACTTTTTGGTGGTGTGTTAGCTTGTTGGAAAAATATTATCTTCTTTTTTTCATTTGTTTATAGATTAATTAGGACCGCTCCCTCAGCCACCCTGCCATCTCTTAGTTTAAGTAGTACCTCAAGTAGCTCCACAACGAGAACGTCCTCAAGATGTTTGCACCTGCAGGCTCGACAGACCTCAGGATCAGTACCTTTAACTACTCAGCTTACCTCAACGTCAAGATATAGTAAGTATAAAGTTTATTGCTGCGAATAACTGAATGCCCTTGAATACACAGCTTGTATTCGTCATACGTATAGGGCACTTCTGCACCGGAACGCCATTGGGACGTCGCCAATAACTGTAGCCAAACTAATCGCTACGATTTTGGTGTCGGCGCCAAACCACCTTCACCACAATGAACTGTCATATATTTCAAGAAGTTAGTTCGGAGATGATATAGAAGCGCAATTTAGTGACATTCACAAACATCACTGCAGGGTCCTTGATACTTGAGAAACTCTCAATGTTGATTTAGTGTTGAATAGTGGCTGGGATGCGACAGCTCAGAGAGTCCCTCACGGGAATTTTTCAAGTTGAGTAATTGTCATGTACAATCAAAATTGTCACCTAGCTAACAGTGATTGTGAGCAAAATGGATTTACTGGAATTAATTGAGATCAACGAGAAATCACCTGCAATTGAGAGCGTGCCAAGAAGATATTTGAGGTATGCTATCAATCCATTCAGTGTCTATGATGAAGAACGATTGAAAGACACGTTACAGGTTCTACCTGTAAAAAGGCATTCATTCATGACGACTTAAATAAGCCGACTGGCAGATGATTATCAATTCTACCAATACAACAGTTATTTGCTGTAATACGTCTTTATGCAACAACAATTTTATTTAATAAAGCCAAATAAAATAAACAAATGGAACAAATATAAAAACTCCTAGTCAATTTTTTAGCAGCAGACAAAAGATTAACATTAGAACAGACAAAATAAGTAAACTTTAGCCAGTATCACGTATATATATCCTTTTGGTATCTGCTTTCCTTGTCCCGTAAAATGTAATGTACAACTGATTTGATTGCTCAAACCATAGATCATACTTACGTTCATATTTTCCCACAGCTTCTGAAGTTGCTTGGAATTTCTTTGGATCACTCCATGAGACTTGTACAAATTGCTTATTTTTTTCTAGGCTTCTCGCTTCGGATACGCCATCGGATTTTATGATTCGATAATAACTTTGTATTCTTCAATCAGACTGCATAATTGGCATTTTTCAGCCTCTGAATAGTATTTTCGTTCTTCAGTCATTTTGATCCCTGTAGCTTCAAACACAAATGCCAAAACCAGAACTGTCAAATAAGCTAACAGAAATTTGATTTAAATTTGACAGATCATGACGTTGCGAATTTCATTAGGAAACACTTGTGGGGTGTAAAAATTTGTGAAAAGTAACCTTGATGGTTTTACTCTTCTTGTAAGTAACCACAACTGTACAACAATCAGTACCGCTTTAGTTTTCCTATGCATAAAAGCATCTGAAAGATCTGTATTTTGCAACTGCATCCATCTTTTCAACAATTTACCAAAACATCTAAGAGATATCACAATATAGTGAGCTTAAGCAAAGAGCAAAGAAAATTCTATGCCAGAGCTGCTTTTATACTGTACAAGAGTTTTCATCATACATATTTTAAATTGTTATTATGTTATTTGAGAGTGCTAGCAAAGGCCGTGATGATTTGAGCGCCATCTATTGATTATTAATAATTACACTAACAATTTATGTGAAGGTATGCAGTATGGAACTTTCCAGCTAAAACGTTTTTCTGTAGAAGCTTTTCAATGTCTTGATATATAATATTATTTCAATAATTGAACAATCGAAGCGGGAAACATGTTCTGTTTTCAAATTACACGCTTTGCTTCATGAATGATGTTTTTGTTCTAGCTGACGCCTCATTAGTGATAGTAAAACAACCTGAACAACAACATAGAGCGAGATATCAGACTGAAGGCAGCAGGGGTGCCGTGAAAGACAGGGAGGGAAACGGATTTCCTGTAGTACAATTGACTGGATATCACAAACCAACAACGTTGCAGGTAACTTCAGATTCCTTTTGATAAGACAGATGATAATATGTTTAAACTTATTGCCGAATTTATGAGCATGTTTTTGTTTTGCTGCCTCCGTATGTGAATGTGAGAAAATGGAAAATTCCGGATTTTATTAATTGTTGTTTATGAGATGTGAACAAATATGGTGAATAATTTTATTACAAACTAATTATCCAGCTTACATCAAATTTAAATTAATCTCCTTTAAAGCACCGTTTTTGACTAGCGATGCAATTATCCCGATGGTGACTCTATGATTGGAAGCATTTCTTGAAGGCTTGTTCCAGCTGCTCTGTCATAGTTCTTTCAACATCGAGTCTGGTTCTAAAACTCATCACGTTTTTTATTATCGGGAAGAATGCTATATCCGGTGACAGTTATATGTTTTGCCAAAAACTCGCGATTCAGAAGCATGGCACGGTCCATTTTCGGGCTGAAGGACGAACCGTTGACCATTTTTCGGGTCTCTTTCTTTGTACATCGTTTCGCAAACGTTGTAAAAAGCGCTTGTAATATTCGGAACTGTGATCGCACTATGGCCGCACTATAAAAAACAGTGATAATCCCCCATGTTTCTCTGACCAAATCAAACCACATGGTGGGTTATCAATATGAAAACCACAGGATAAGCTTCAGATGTTACATCCAAAAACAATGAGTATGACTTTAATATTCGACTTCCGTTGACATACGTTCGTAAGGCGAGGAGAGGCACTAGTTTTCACTTTTTCAAAAAATTAGTCGCCGTCGATTGTTGAAATATGGTCCGAACATGACATATATTTTTACAATTAAAAAAAAACTGTTTCAATGAACTTTTTAAATCGACTCAAAAACAGTTGACATGTTCACAGAACTCTATAAGAGTACTTTTGTAGATGAACATTTTAGATCTTTTCAACCTACCTTATGTGGTTGATAGTATAGCCAGCTGAAAGGAAGGAGTATTGCTCCTAAACCAAATTGTTCAGAAAACTATTTATGGGCATTTATACGATATCTGAGGGCACATTTCTAAAATATCTTCAATAGTAAATATAACATACTTATGGGCTTTGATCATTAGCTGTTGGGCTATTGGATATTTTTTTATAAAGAAAAACCAAAGTTTGGCTGCTTGCATATCTGATATCTTGACAGGTGTGTGAGTTTTTTTGGCAACATTTTTTATTGAATTCAGTTTTAACCTATAGTCTAATCATATTAGCAAATTTCCCCGAAATAACTGTAAAGTCTGGTTTTATTTATTCAAGTTGTTCAAGGGGGTATTTAAAACACGGACGCATAACATGGGTACACCAATTTTTGTGGGAAAACTTTTTATTCGACAACAAGGAATGAGAAAACGTGTTTTTTGGGATTCAATCGAAAGTGTTGACAGGAACGAAAAAACTTTTCAATTAAGATTTTTAAGTATTTATGAGACTTACAAAATGAGACTACACGTAAAAAGATCCGACTAATAGCAAAAATTTTATGGCCGAAAAACGAGGCAAAATGCAGGTTTTGGTACTTGTAGGTAATGCGACAATAATTTCACGCAACTACTTGAAATTCTTCAAGTCCGTAGGATTCATACTTCTAACCAACAAAAACAAAAATTGGAGTATATTGGTCAAGTAGTTTTTGAGAAGTTCTAATTGTTTATCCCAAAACACTTGTTTTCCGGCCACCGAACTAGTTTATTGAGCAATATACAGGGCTCGTTCAAAGAGTATTTAATAGCAAAATACACGTGTTTACCTTGCCGATATGAATCATAAACCATTCCGAAAGATAAATATTATTTTTATGCGAAAAACAAAGGATGCGTTTTTTTCTTCTAAATAAATTCAAACATTTCGTATTTGTGAGTAATTGAACAAATGCGCTACGATTTTGAAAAACATACGTTACTATACACATTTGAAAACAAAGCGGATGTGTCTATCATCTTTTGTTGCGAATTCGAAACGTTTGAATTTGTTTTTGCATAAAAATAACATTTATCTTCCGGAATGGTTTGCAATTCATATCTTCAAGGTTAACTAGTGTATTTTGCTATAAAATGTCCTTTGAACTAACCATTTATATTGCTCAATAAACTAGTAGTGGTGGCCGGAAAACAGGTGTTTCGGATAAACAATTAGAAATTCTCAAAAACTACTTGACCAATCAACTCCAATTTTGTTGTGGTTATTTATAAGAATGAATCCTACGAATTTGTTACCAACTGCCAAAACCTGCAGTTTGCCTCGGTTTTCGGCTATAACTTTTTTGCTATTAGTCGGATCTTTTTACGTGTGGTCTCATTTTGTCGGTCTCATAAATACCTAAAAATCTCATATGAAGTTTTTTCGTTCCTGTCAACACTTCCGATTGTATTCCAAAAAAAACACGTTTCTTATTCTTTGTTGTCGAACAAAAAGTTTTCCCACAAAAATTGGTGTACCCATTTTATGCGTCCATGTTTTAAATACCCCCTTGAACAACTTGCACCAATAAAACCTGACTTTACAATTATTTCGCAAACCCCGGGGTATTTTCGTCTAATATGATACGACTACTAATATATCCTTTTTTCAATTTTATGAATGTTTAAGTCAGGATCGTCAAAAACGCTAAACATAATATACTTTTTCTGAAAAAAATTAAATGGAACTTCATATAATATAATCACCATTCACTGATTTTAACGTCATGCACGACATATCAGCAAATACGACCTAACTCTATTAGCTCTGGAAGGTAATAGATAAGTAGCAACAAATTTACCACAGGCTATCTCAATAAAACATACTATCAAACGTATTACTTTAAATGAATGTCGATATAGCAGTTCCCGATATAGCAATTCATCTCTTTCTTTTTATCACACCTCGTGTAGTTATCAAAACAAAGATTGCATCTGCCTAAATGAGTCAGCAGTGAGATTCCGTACTTTTCTATTATATCACGATCTGGGTAGAACCTTTGGACTAATCTGCTAACTTAACACTCTCATCACCATTCCGCCACTGTGTCGTCATAATCCCGCCAAGCTCTCTGCAATGAATAACACAGTTGCCAATGGCGGAGAATAAGCTTTTATTATGAGTGATCTTTATTCCCTTTATCCAGAAATTGAAGGCTAGGCTTTCAGCTGCAAATAGGTCACGTCATGACATACTATATGGCAAAATTTTGTTTTATTAACAATCTTCAGTTTTCGAAACTTTTTGGCACTTATTTGTTGAGAAGGTGGCGTGGCCTACATCGAGTTAATCCGTTGCAAAAATGATAGAACTGCTGTTCAAGTACAATTTATATTCAATTTATTAATATAATGAGCACCATTTCCTCTCATGCCTTACATTTTTTCATAAAGCGCTCTTTTAACCTACCAGAATAACCACTAGCATGGTCAAGGTCATTTTGAGAAAAAATAATACAAGTACTGAGTGAGATAAAATTCCTGAAATAAACCTAGTCCGAATAGATTATTATTTGTAGAAATGGCACGGGATTCTCTAAATGTAGGCCAGTTATTCAACATAATAGTTGATATTGAAAATCTCGAAAAATGTGACTTTTAATAAAACAAAATTTTGCTATACAGTGTGTTTCAGTTTATTGTTGCATAACTTTAAGATTCGATAGAACTTTTAAAATTAATGAATAAAGTCTATATAAACATGGGTCGAAAAATGCGTGGCTTCCGAAATACAGAGCTTTTAAATTTACTTTTTAAAATAGTTTTTTTTAATATTCGAACAATGTTTGATGTATAACAGTGAAAATTGGTATACAAGTGTTTTTTGGTACGACAAAACTGAACCATGGGCATAGTTTTACGGTAGCCGCTAGAGGGCGCTCTCTACTGTACCTGTAGTGTATTAAAATGACCGAAAAATTTTTTCTTAGTGCAATTTTTTGCTTTTTGAATAAAAAAAACTTATTCTTCGCACTTTTCAACATAAAAAAGCTCTCTTGTGAATTTTCGTTATAGTTAGACGTTTTTGAGATATTTCGATTTTTAAGGTTCGATGCATTTTTAATTATTCATGATAAAATTACGTTAAAAAGTCAGTATCTCGATAATATTTGGAAGTAGGCTGTGCCTGCAAATATTTTTGAAATTGAAAGCAGAATATATGGTTTAAACGACAATTGGTTGACAGTTAGTTTTGTTGTCTGTTGAAACCTGAAACGTTTTTTTGCAATTGTGAATGCACGAAATTTAGTTTCTTTTACCTGTTTTTTTTTGTAAGTTTTATAAAAATGCCATTTTTATTCTCCAATCAAGAGTTAGCGGATATTCATTTTGTGTATGACTTTGTAAATGGAAACGCAGCAGAAGCAGCCAGAGAATACGCACGAAGATTTCCAAACAGACGACATCCAACTCGCTCAGTATTGTAATAGTGCATCGCCAAATAATTGAAAATGGTTTTGGAAATCTCCAAAGGATCAAAACATAAATGTTCGTCAGCGCAGATTTACCCGTATGATTCTGTGTGAGTTTGATAGACGTCCGTACCATTTGCAACCTGTGCAAGGACCACAGCCAGGGGACGGAGAACGAAGAATCACATTTTGTCAGTGGATCCTTGATAGAATTGATAATAATAGGGAGCTTTTAAGTAACGTTTTATGGACCGATGAGTCATGCTTCACTAGACGTGGAGTGGTAAATTTTCATAATCAACATATACGTATTTGGTCGCATGCAGTTCGGGAAAAAAATTTTCAGCATGAATTTAGTGTGAACGTGTGGATTGGTATCTACCGTAATCGACTATTTGGACCCTACCTTTTGCCTGCAAGGTTAAATGCTGCGACCTTTTGGAATTTTTAAAGGCTGAACATGCAAATATCTGGGATGATGTTATGTTAGATTTACGAAGATTGGCCTGGTTCCAGCTTGATGTTTGTCCAGCTCATTATTCGAGATTAGTTAGAAACTGGCTGGACGAAAGTTATCCAGAAATATGGATCGGCCGTGGAGGACCAGTCGCCTGGCCTCCACGATCCCCTGACCTAAATCCATTAGATTTCTTTGTGTGGGGATTTCTAAAAGAAAAAGTGAACCAGACTCCCGTAACCACGAGAGATATGCTAATAGACAGAATCAGGAATGCATGTGATGAAATAAGGCCTTATTTGAATAATGCTATACCACGTTCGATCATTCGTACATGTGAATTGTGTATTGAACAATTGGGTTTACATTTCGAGCAACTACTTTAGATTTTGTATGTTTGTCCTAACTATCCAATAGCATTTTAGTTGTAAATAATTAATTTAATTGTTAAAAATAATATTGGAAAATTAAACAAATTAATATTCTGTTTTGTGTTTATTTGGAGTTAGGAATTATTGCTGTGTTTAAAAACACAATCTAAACGATCATCTTAATTACTTGTAATGCCCAAATCGAAATGTAAAAAAAATATTACTTTCCCATAAATAATTAAGAATGCATCGAACCTTAAAATCGAAATATCTCAAAAACGGCTAACTATAACGAAAACTCACAGGAGAGCTTTTTTATGTTGAAAAGTGCGAAGAATCAGTTTGTTTATTCAAAAAGCAAAAAATTGCACTAAGAAAAAATTGTCGGTCATTTTAATACACTACAGGTACAGTAGAGAGCGCCCTCTAGCGGCTACAGTAAAACTATGCCCATGGTTCGTTTTGTCGTACCAAAAAACTCTTGTATACCAATTTTGACTGTTATAAATCAAATATTGTTCGAAATATTAAAAAAAAAACTATTTTAAAAAGTAAATTTAAAAGCTCTGTATTTCGGAAGCCACTGCATTTTTCGACCCATGTTTATATAGACTTTATTCATTAATTTTAAAAGTTCTATCGAATCTTAAAGTTATGCAACAATAAACTGAAACACCCTGTATAATGAGCACCATTTCCTCTCATGCCTTACATTTTTTTATAAAGCGCTCTTTTAACCTAACAGAATAACCACTAGCATGGTCAAGGTCATTTTGAGAAAAAATAATACGAGTACTGAGCGGGATAAAATTCCTGAAATAAACCTAGTCCGAATAGATTATTATTTGTAGAAATGGCACGGGATTCTCTAAATGTAGGCAAGTTATTCAACATAATAGTTGATATTGAAAATCTCGAAAACTGTGACTTTTAATAAAACAAAATTTTGCTATATAGTAGCTCATGACGTGACTTAATTGTAGCTGCAGGTTTATGCTTCAATTTCCGGACATCCTGTATAATTTATAAACAAAGGGAGGTAGTTTTTTGCTACTTCCGCACTCGGATATCTGATGAATCGTTTAGTAAATGAACAGCTCGATGTATCATGTTCTTTTGATTTTGTGGGTATGCTCTTTTAGCATAGTTGTCATTTTTGCCATTTTGTCGGCTATAATATTACCAATGTATTGTAGCAACAGTTATGTTATTACTGGTGGATGTACTAACAAGCGCAAAGTGGAAATCTAGCGCCATTCTCGTTGTATGCTTACAAAACTTGAGAGTCAGTATTGCTTGTCTGCTGTCCATGCAGATCGTAACATTTTTGCCTGTGACATTTCTGTAAACAATTTCCTTTGCGGTTAAGATTATTCCAGCTAATTCGACCTGCGTCACGCTGACATGTTTGTCCATAGACCACTTGCAATTGAAGCGGAGGCTCCTATACTTCGCAGCCAGCCCCATCTTTTTCTTAGATCTGTCAGCGAATATGTTAATAACCCTCCTCGATATGTTTTTCAGAAGCTGTCCTGATCAAAGATGAACTTTGGAGGGATACTTTTTATGTCAACCTACAGAAGTGGCATGCAATTAATTGAGATATTCCACAAGCAACTCCTATCTATTCCACACCCTATGTTCGTCTGTATTCCAACAAATTCAAAGCGTACCATTGTTACCATAGAAGTTTGAAGTGGTGGTAAATCTACAATACATCCATTGCTCTCGTTGGTGTTGTCCGCATAGCACCAGTTATTCTAAGTCATGCAGGCCGCTGTAGCTGGCTTAGCTGTATTTTTGTGGTTACCTGTTGACATTTAGTGGCCCAAGCAACGGCTCAATAGGTCACCATAAGTCTAATGATGGTAGTGTGTATCCACATAGCAGCTTTGGGTTCCAAACCCCATGTTTTGTTCGATGCTCCTTCGGCATTGCTCGTAGGATATCTGTGCTTTCTTTAATCTTCGTTTTGTATGAAGATTCCAGTTTAGTTCTGTACCTAATGTGAACCCAGGGTACTTGACCCCAAAAGCCAAACGTAAGCTATCATCAAGAAATTTTTGTGGACTAATGCTCGCCAACTTCCTTTTCCGAGAGAAGCTACTTTATTTTATTACGATTAACCAAGTGTTCACTGCACAACTCCTCTATAATCCGTAGAGCTGGGAACAAACATTAAATCATAACATTCTATGTAGATTCATGGTATCATGGTCCATCAAGTTTGGCATATAACCATGCTCCTATATTTCACTACGAACAAAGTCTTGAACATTCTTCTAAAAATAATTGTTGAATTGATATAATCTTCTTCAGGTATTTATCGGCACAGATGTAGGCAAAGTATCGCCTCACATGTTCTACCAAGCATGCAAAGTGAGTGGGAAGAACAGCACCCCATGCATAGAACGCAAGATAGATGGTACATGCGTCATAGAACTACAACTGGAACCCAGCAAAGACATGAGCGCCACATGCGATTGTGTTGGGATTCTTAAAGAGAGGAATGTCGACGTGGAACATAGGTTTCCAGATCAGCTAGGTAACAGAGGAAAGAAGAAATCTACTAGATGCCGGATGATATTTAGAACAACACTCATGCTGGACGACGGTTCTCAAGAGACGTTGCAAGTCTGCTCACAGCCTATTGTTTGCAGTAAGTATTTCTGATTTTACTTCATACGCCACTAGGCGAGGAAGTACTGTAATCTCAAAAAATTTCGAAAATGAGATGTGTTTTTGGATGTTATATGTACATAACGAAAAACCAATCTCATTATCGTCGGTCTGTCTGCCTGTCCGCTAATTCTTGGTCCGTCTATAATTTGAGAAGTAAGGCTCGGATTTGGATGAAATTTTCACACAAGGTAGCATGCCAAGGTCGAAAAAGCCTTGTAGCTTTTGAAAATCGGTCTAGTGGTGGCGGAGAAAAAAGCCAAAAACCAAAATAAAAATGAAGTATTTTTGGTTACGGTTGCGTCAAACCTGATGTGGTAGAACGATTGTGAATATCGACCTCCATGATGTCAAGCCATAGCGTCATCGTATTTTTTGTCCAAACATAGTGTTCATAGCAACTGCCCTTATACCGCGTTATCAACGACACATATTTTGCGTCCTATAACATCACTTCAAATGGACTAAATGTCGGTTATTTTCACTAACACAAATATTTACAGTCCGTCATCTGCTAGGGGCGCAATTATTGCGCAAATAGAGAATAAGGGTCTTCCTTTTATAATATTTATATTTTAAATTTTAGCTCAACCTCCGGGTATTCCAGAAATATGTAAGAAGTCTCTGACGTCGTGTCCGGCCACCGGTGGATTGGAGCTGTTCGTTTTAGGAAAGAATTTCCTCAAAGATACCAAGGTTTATTTTCAGCAGTATGAAGATGGTCACGTCCAATGGGAAAAAGGTGTTGTACCTGATAAAGAATATTTACAGCAGGTTGGTGTTCTCTATCAAATTTTTTATGAAGTGCAGAATTCGACATGTATGCCAAAACAGTGTCTTCTTCTGTATACGCAATTTGTAATATGCAGTAACTTTTAGCTTCTTTGTATGTATAAATACTGAACAGGGTGGATGAAAAATGAACGAAAGATTAAATTGAACGAATCGGTATATATTAATTTTCAAAACGGAAACCGTATATTGTTTATAATTTTACCATATTAAAGTTGAATCTTGCACTTATCATAATTTATAGCAATGCCGCAAACTTTTATATGGTTATTCTGTAAGATCTGTATTCTATTTCCAAGAAAGTTTACTGTGCACTACGAGATATAAAGTCATAATAACTCAAAGATTCACAGATGGGACTGTTTCGCTGAACTGCATGGTGTTTTTGTACCTTTCCTCAAAATTAGTGGAGTGAAACAGGAAGTAGAAGCAAGCAATTATGATGTGTAGGACAGGCACTTCAATCAAATGGCTCATTTATTAGATATTTTAAAAGTGTATTTTAAAGGTGTATCGTGTAATAGCTTGTATGAAAGATCTTTCGAAGGCCTTTATTTTAATGTTTGGTTTTTTAAAATCGGTCATTTCGTTTCATAGAAAATTAGAAAAATCTTTATTTATCTTAATTTGTTCAGATACAAAACAAAAACACACGAAAATATCACTTTTTATTTCAATAAGCGTTCAAAATTTTCTAATTTTCTTGAAAACGAATAAACCGATTTCAAAACATCAAAAATCAAAATAAAGGACTTTGAAAGACCTTTCAAACAAGCTTTTACTCGATACCCCTTGTCATTTAAAATTTTCAAGGGGATGACCATGGGGGGCAGAGGTTGAAAGGGGGGGTGAAGTAGTTCTTGGTTAAAAAGTTTTCCCCCTTGACAGATTTTTTGACGTGTCTCGGCGTTTTTTCTTTTAACTAGTGGTTTTCGATAAATCCGTGGTGGGAAGTTTTCAAATGAACACTCTGTGTACAAAATCAAATTTAAAAAAAAACGAATCAAGCAACAAGAGATATATGCGTTGGATTTGTTTTAATCCACGTGTCACAGACATCTTTTTTGTGTGAGTGTTGAACCACTGAACTAACGATTATGACGTCGCAGTTTCCACGCGTAACAGCAGCTTTATTCATAAAAATCACGATTTAACACCAAAATAAATGACAGCAATCACGGGTAGGGCTTCTGTGAATAACAGTAATATTCTTTTTTTTGTTTCAGACACATTTTGTGTGTGTAGTACCTCCATACCATAGACCGGACATAACCAAACCGATTTCGGTGAGGTTATGTGTGGTGTCGAGTGGTAAAACAAGCGAATCACATCATTTTGTTTATACCCCGGTAAATGGGACTGTAGCCAGCGGTAAGATTTTGTTGCTTAACTATTGGGTAGAAATTTTGAAAAGATTGGCTTAGTTTATAGTACGGATCTGGGCCTCTGTGAACAGATCCGTCCTTAGTTTTCACACGATCATGTAGAATATGTTCCATGGACTATGTCTCTAGGAGATGCGAACATAAAATCTCAAGGTTGCTGGTGCTTGGTTTAGCAATCATTACCTGTCCGCAGACAGGACACGAATATTTGGTTCTATTTTGCATATTAACATTCATGAGATATTTCTTATGATTTCTTAGATGAAATTTTAATAAACAATCCCATTTTATAGACCATATCCATGGATCATTTACATCATCTTGTGAAAATATTTGCACACATTTTACATATTCTAATAGAACAAGTAATACATGTGTTGTACTTCCAGTGAATATGTGAAAATGACAATATCCTTATGCTAGACAAATACAGATACAAAATGACAATAGTAAAGTACATTTGAGATCTTAACTTAATACAGATGTTTAAAACAAGACATCAATATAAATTCTTCAAGGGAAGGCATCTGCAATAGTAATTCATAGCAATTATCATGTTGTTCGATTTTTTGAAATTACAGATACACTAGATACATTTATATTATAATTTTGAGCAAGAATAAATCAACAGTTTCTCAAACATATTTAGTGTGTAGACTTTATGCCTCTTATTAGTTTTACAAACGTTAACAAAACCTGAAAATGAATGTTTATAATGATTTTCACATATTTCATTTCAATTAACATGAAGATTTTCACTTATACCATCAATTATTTTATCATTACAATTGATTTAATAGAAAAACAATAATGTATTCAAAAATAATAAAATTATTGCAAATTGTCTTCATCTACAGTACACAAAATACGTGATATACTTTTCCTCCTTATATTTTTTTTTGAGCTCGATGTATCAATGTAATTTTGATGTAAACTCTTCAATAAACCTATATCTCTTGATTCAAATTATAATGTCAGTGACATCGTGCTTTGTCAGCCATAACATCTGAAATTTACACGTAAATGGATTTATCGTGAGATGTTTCTTCTTTTTCTCATGAATCGAATTCGATAAAGTAAAAAATGACTAAGCAACATCTAAGCCAATCTGTGCTTTGCATGCATGAACAACTTGCATGGAAGGAGAGACAAGCATTACTAAATCTGTTCCATTTTTTATTATACTCAATTCGCAGAATGCCCAGCTTTAATCTTTTTTCATTAATAAAGACATAATTGGTTTGGATCATGATTTATTGATGCTTATTTCAAGTATGGAAGTGAAAAGCTGTCAAAAAATGAGGTTTATGATCTAATATATTTATTTTTTATTACAGGGGAAAAAATAGTATTTTCTTGGGTAGCAATACTTTTCATGTCAATCGTAGCTGTAGAATTTGATGGTATGAAATACCCCCTTTGATTTCAAATATACAAGAGCAAAGTATTTGTGGCTGTTTATGTATACACTTTTTTCCTCCATCATCCTGCTCGTTACTTTTTATCAGATGGCATTACCAAGATATAAATGTCTGCATTCCTGCTGTGATGTGTTTGTTACTTGTTTCATTCAGTTTTTTGCCGATGGACTTACCAAAATATAGTGTCATTAGAATTTAGCAAAATACTATTGTAACTTTATTTGCAATATTTCCACCTTTTGCTCTGCCTATACGCTTTTTAACATAAGCATATATCTGAAAATTCATATTTTCTTTAGTTCTTTAAACTGAATAATTTAATGCAGCAGTGACTCAAGAATCCACATATATCTAATAATAAATAGCTTATTGGTTCTACTGGGTTATTTTATTAATTCATTCATTACTTGTTTATTATCAAAAGACATGTTTCTCGTTCCACTCCGATTGCACAAAAAATGGTATTCTCGGAATTCTTGAAATATCAAATATACCTGTATAATCATAACATCTTAGCAGATATAAAAAGTCAATTTGAAATTTATAGCATTCTAATTATTTCAGTGATTTCAGTTTTTTTTTACTAAAACAGGTTGCTTTTTAACTTTATCATCAAAGTGAGGAAAAAATTTCTAAAATGAAATATTATGTTTCTTGGATGTTGTATGACATCACTACATCACGAAAAACCATGTCACTCACTCCCGTCAGGTGGTCTGTCTGTCTAACCCGCTAAACCTTGACCTGTCGATAACTTGTAAAGTATCGATCGGATTTTGATGAAATTTCCAAACAAGATTACTATTGCAAGCCCTAAAAAGCCTTTTTTTTAAAAAATTGATGCAGTGACGACCGAGTTGGGGGCAAAACTTCAAAAAATGAAAGTTCACAGCCCCCTCTCAATGAGTGTCGTTCTGTCACTCACACGAGAGAGGGGTAACGTTGCCAGATGGTTTAACTTGTTCCGAACAACAATCCTTTATGATCTGAAGACAGCCTTTGCATGGGAAGTTCAAAGTAAACCTACTTGACGCCATTTTTTACATATGGATCCTTCTAATTCTTCTACAGCTACACAAGCTGTTAAATATCGAAACCAGATAGCGGATAACAGTCAAAATATTACGATGAAAAAAAAACATTAGATCAAAAACGTATGTAGAGAAACTGGAATCTAAAAATTGTATTAATTTTAAGTATATATTTTTTTTTGGAAGTCGCACATTTTGAGATTGCTGTACAACACAAGCAGACAACCAAGGAAATTAAAACAAATTTAATCAAAAAGGAAACTAAGCTTAATGAGACAGCTGGACAGCTATGGTACTAGTTCAGTGCTAATAATGCATAATATCTAGTAGTTTAATGAAAGATCATTAGATGTTCCACGATGTGGTATTTTTTTTAAATGGGTTTACCCACATATGAGTAATTAATAAATATACCATTCAAAGAATGGTTAACTGATTTGCATTGACATGAGTCATCCTATAGAAATCATATCTTCTTACTTTGCGATATACTTAAAATATATTTTAAGCTATGGTAAAAACTACTTTGAGTAACATTGGATTTAATATACAACAATGTCAAATTTAAAAAACAACTAGTTTTGGCCCAGTATTTTCCCCATAACCTTGGCGCACAACTGATTTGATAATCCAAAGTGTAATAGTTTATTGCAAAAGCCATTTCCTCAAGAACTATTAAGATTGAGACATTATAAAATCTTGAAATACTATTGTAAAACACTGTTTTTAAAATTCGAAAAATGACAGTTTTTCTCTTCAGAATTATTATTAAGTTGGCAAGCATATACTACGGTATGACTGTGTGTGAGCCAGTTTTGTGACTGAATTTGAACATGATGGAAGTTGGCTTCTTAGGAAGCCTTCAGCCATCGGTATGCCTGTCTGTATGTATGTGTGGTATATGGATTGCCAGAACACATAACAGGACTGCGCTATGTTTTTTTATTTATAATTTTTACTATTTACTGTTATGCATTTTCTGTTCATGCAGATCGATATTTTGCAGATTTGAGGCATAACGCAGTCCTGAATTTTTCAGTGACTTTACAAACTTTGAGACAAATATCTCATCTATTCCATTTTTTGTCTTATTTAGGGAAGAATTCGACATTCAACGTTTACGTTTTTCCATGTATTCTTGATTGTACGTCCTTTTTAATAAAAATGTACAATTTCAAACTGAAATGTAAAATATTAGTTTTGACATGTAATTTTTACATCTGCTTTTTGAAATGTAATTATTTAACTTCTTTTGTGTACCATATATTTCAAATTGTGTACTGCAAAGTTTTATGACAATATGCAATGTCTCCTTTTTGAAGAACTCAAAGGGTGATTTGCTGATCTGAATGTTTCTTGAGAACACAGAACCATATTTGCAACATTCATATTCTTAGAAAGATTTTCATGTGAAGTCATCCTTCATTTAAAAGTGGAGAGATTTGCAAAATACCAGTACTAGATAAAATAATATACTTCGAATCAAGCAGTAAGGAATAATAAAAGGTAGAAATGAGGGTACAAAAATTATTCGTGCAGCAACACAATTTGGTGTGAAAAACTTCATATAACAAATTTCACGTATATTGTCACAGAATTTTGTAACAGATAATATACCGTCAGTCAGAAGGTATCTGTTTGAAAATTGACGTACACAGTGGAAAAGTAGTTTGAGTAATAGACTTTATAGCTATTATTTCCGCTATAGCTGACAAAAATCTGATAATCATATGTACAAAATTTAGATTATCATGCTAAAAAGTGACAGCAAAGGCAAATTACTGAGGGTATGATATTATATTACATTTAGAAAAAATATTTCATCAATTTTTGTGGACATGTATCAAATTAATAGTATTACACAATTTATAAGAGAATGATAGCAAAGATAAGAACTATGGCTTTCAATCAAAACCCATGAAATGATCTTGTAGTTCTGTCGGTCGAACATTTTTCAGAACAAAAAACTTGTTCTTTTCCTGCTTATAGGTGTAGAAAAAACTCAAGAGTTTTTATCGCTGACAATTTTCAGGAGCTAAGTAATTTTATTATTTCATGATGAATGGCAAAAACGCTTTTTCTGCTTTTCTATTTACGCTACAACGCTTCGTAGCAACCATAGTAACAATTTCCAAACTTGTGTGAATGTCCACACCATTCTAATCGTTCATACGCATCTGTCATCTGTCTGTACTGTTAGCAATGCTTTCATTTATATAGGTTCATGAGCTCATCCAAACTGTTTCTTATATTTTTGTATCCCGTGTTTCCTGAGACTAGAAGTGTATTAATGATATTTCTTAAGATTGATGCAATTTTTTTCTATGTACCTTGAACTGCTATATTGGCTTTAACATATACCGCAGTATCTAGTACGATATCAGAGCGGAAATCAATGCACCGACATTGTATCTCTAAGAATTATACAGAACTTTGATTTTCATGGTATAGTAACATTAGTACCAGATCATGCAAACTGCAGCATGTTGCCACTTCAAATATGTTCATTCGATGTTCCCTCTGACTGACTGTATCTAAGATAAACAAAAAGGACAAAAGTTTTATTATGTACATATATACACATGAAACTTTTGTAAAGACGACAACACCTCGACGAGAGGTGTTCTGTTCGTCTAGAAATTGATACATAAACTTTATTTGCTTGTACACACAAACTTGAATGAATGAAATGTTCTGTTGTATCATACAGCATATAGGCTCTGTATAAGGAGCGGGGCCTCCAGCGACCGACACCTATCAGCCTGCGGAGCCTAAGTCTGCAGACCGACCGAGCCGCGCGTGTCTCAGATCTCTCTGTTCTCAGGTTCTAGTCTATCACGGGTACTTAAAAACAACAAAAAAAGTTACATCATTCTCTCACATTTCTTTATGCCACCATCCAATCATGATATCCATACACATACCCATAACTGTTTGATACAGTTTGTGATGTCATTTCTAACTTATCCAGTGGTTCACCTCCAGATTTCTTATTGCATATTATTAGTTTAAATGTTTCCCTATCATTATCTTGCAAAAACTCAGCGAAAAAATAAACCACAACTAATTTTGACAGCAATAGTAAATATAGGCATGAATTTCTGACGGTTGTGGACTGTTGGAAACAGTTGACCAATTAAGGTTGACGCATGGATTTGAGTTTCACTTTTCTGATAATTCGTTTGGTCAACTAAATTTGACAGTAACAATCCGTTTAAAAATGTAACTCAAACTAAAACATTCAGCTCTTTGACTTCTGAAGTTTTCGGAAGATCAAGTGACATAAATGATGGATGGATAAACCACTGATAAGCAGATGTTACACACAACCTGCAGCAGGTTCATTTTCCTTATTGACTCCTATCCTTCCAGACGCTTCTAATATACGGTGGAATATATATATTAGTGCAGTTATCCAGAATGTTTTTACTTGTTTTCTACATATACGTGTACAACAATTCATATTTCACACGTTTTTCATTAAGAACGTGTACTTTAGAACGTGATTCGGTTTGACTAGAATTCATCTATACGATTCAGGCAAAACGTTTTATTTAATCATTCCAGACATAGACATTCCAATAAAACAAGCTCCTGAAACTTATCCTATGTTTGTCGCACTGATTTATTTTTAAGTTATACCGAGCGTTGAATAAATCCACAACCCTATAGTAACATGTAAATCTCTTGTATACATATACAGGGAAAATAAAATTTCTGACGGCCTGAGTTGAATGTGTACGAGAGAGAAGCGTGAGAAGTGTGTGTCAACACATGTTTGAAAAAAATAGAAGCTGGCTGAGGAGCGAAGGTCATCACCACATGGCCTAGCAACGGTGGCGCAGAAGGTCGTGCAATCTGTCGCGTTGCAAATATGCTACACCAGAAAATGTTCACATAGGCTTCTACAATAGATTAGGTTTCTGTCAAACCCAAGAAGGAGGTCTCTTCGAGCAGTTAATTTCATATTTTGTCTCCATTTTGAATAGAATGACTTATTTCAATTTTGATGCGACCTGTTTTAGTTCATTTTAGAACGACCGTTGGTGATAAAATCAACACATCCAGAATTACCGACCGCTCGCTGTTGCAATATGTAACAAATACCGTTACGCAATACAAATTATCACTGCCTGTGTGTACGCAGGTGAAAACCATTCCGAAACAGGACGACGTTTTACCGAAGCAGCCGCGCAGGCAGAAGCCGGGACAGCGCGGCTGCTATGAAGATAGCAAAGAAATTTTGTTAATCCGATTTTTGAACTGCCTAAGGTTAGTAGAACTGGGAAAAGCTTCCTCTTGTAGACTGTTCCATAATCTCTATACCCTCGGGACAAAGGAACTGTCATATCGGCCAGTTCTGTATGTACGAAGTTGTAGACGGTTAGGATGGGAGGCCAAAGTCAAGCGGGTCTGTCTGGCAGGCCCATCGCACGGCGGTATCATGGAAGAGAGCTCGGAGGAGTAAAGCCCGTTGGTGTAGCGGTAGAAGAGAGCTAGTTCGCCGACGGCCCGCTGTTGCGAAAGGGTTCCGATACTGTCCGTTAGAGAAGAGTCATCGATCAGTTGGACAACCCTCCTCTGGAGAGCATCGAGCATAAACGTGTGAGCAATACTCGAGGTTATGCCTTATCTGGGCCTTGTATAGAGTGAGAAGGTCATGAGGAGAAAAGTACTTCTTAAGGCTGCTACACACAGTGCCGCCGTACACCCGGCGGCATACAAAGCCGCCGGCCTTGCCGCGCAAAGGAGCCGCCGTGGTGTGCCGGCGGGTTACGCGGCTTGCCGGCGTCACTTCGTTCCTGGCATTCGAGCGGTAGTGTTGTGCGGTTTGTGTGTTTAAACAAATTAAAATGTCGTTTAATTGGGGCGACGAAGCTGTGCTGCTCTTAATTGAAAAATTTCATGAAAATGATATATTATGGAATCCCAGAAATGCAGCACTTCACTAGGTTTCTATGTGACTGTCACAACCGGAATGATGCTTGACGGCTTGTGCCGACGGCATAGCCGCTCGGCATAAACCCGGCGGCATTGCCGCCGGCACTGTGTGTAGCAGCTTTTAGACGAGACGTGTTCGTGCCAGATCAAGTCCTCGGTGATCTTGACTCCGACCAGCCGAAATGAATGCCTCTTTGGGAGAACTCGGCCATCCATCGAAACTGGATGAGAGCTAGGACGCTTTTTGTTAATCAGTACTGTGTCTTGCTGGCATTAAACTGTACAAGGTTGTTGCGTCCGCAGACAGTGATAACCTCCAGGTCCCTCGTCAGAGAGGAAGTCGTTGTTAGTGTTCTTTTTTCCAGCGCAGTGGCAGAGATAGGCTTGTCACTCCGAATTCCTGCATGTAGAGTGCTGTCATCAGCATCTCTCATCTCATGTATGATCATGGAGGTGGAAACATCATCTTGGAATAATCGAGATGCGGTGTTGCCAAGCGAACCAATTATGCAATGTTCCAATTTGTGGCCTTCCTGACCTTTCATTTCGACCTAAAATGAAGCGCCCTTAGGACCGATCCAGAATCGATCTTAAATAGATGCAATACAATTCACAATTCAAAAATGAGTACGCTAAAAATAAAACAGTATTTCTAAGAGAATAACCTAATGCATATTTTCAACAAGCATCGTAATTCAAGGAACTAATGTAACATATTGGCAACGCGGCAGATTAGCCGGCTTCTAACTATTTCTAACATATGAATCTATACAAACTTCTCACTCGTACACATTGAACTCAAGCCGTCAAACAAATTTGGTTTTCAGCATAGAACACAATAAAATAATTCCATCCCGGGTTACCTTTCCTGCTTATAAGGCCCGATCTTACTGTCGAGCCGCGGAAATCAAAATTAGAGTACATGTTTTCAGCTTACAAAATGTTTTCACTGGGCCATTACGTTATAGGTTTTAATTTTTTTAGCAATATTGCGTTTGAGTTAATTCGTCCCCGACGGTTTACAGTTGTTGTTGTACATAGTTGTTTTCTCTCTTGTAAGCTGTCAAGGTAAAGGTGTTGTTGAATTTCTTAGTGTCGTTCGAGAAGAACGCATTTCCAGTAGTTAGGTTAGGTAGTTGCTTTTATAGGAACTCGCGACATTATTTTCTTGAGGTCTATATGCGCCGGAGAGATTGACATGTTCTTCCGGGACACTCTATATTGAAGAAAACGATTACTGATGTTTCGGCCAACGGAAAAATTTTTTTCTTTAATATATGTGGTCTTATTCGGCGGCCATTAAAACATAGAAATGAACCATGAGCCGAATTGATATGGGTTTAGCTTCGACTTTATGGTATGAGCATTAATGGGCGATTTATGGTATTGAAAACATTCTGATGATACTGCAATATACATTCCTCTGTTTTCTCAGAACAACAATTAGTCCATCTTACAATATACAATAGACCATTATTGAGTACTGAATGCATGAATATGAGGGTTATCATTATGCATTTTGTGTGATTTATATGCTTTTTAATATATAACGAATACAAAATGCTTGGGGAAGCTTATTTTTAGCATGTATTGGTCATTTGTACTGTAAGATATTTGCATGATATAAGACATACTCTTAGATTCTCGAGGAATGCCTTATGACAGCAATTTATTTTAAGATGGACGAATTTCATTTTAATAGGCTGCTAGCATCATAAGTACATGTTTAACAGCAAGATAATATATGTTTTTGACCTAGTGAATCACATGCTGGTATTGTGCTGGCAGTCTATATTGAATTAAACACATCGTTGACTCCCACAATTCGTTACACCTCCATCAATTTTCATTCGATCAGTTTGATGTTTAAGGTAACATTGAATTTATCAGTAGCTTAACATCTATTTCCGAACACGTTATCTTTCGTTATGATTGGTTCTCTTAGAGTTACTATCTTCAATGCTAACTTACTCACTACTGGTGGCTTTACATGATTTATTTCATATACCTACATCCCAAGCTACACGATTCCTCAATAAAATACTACGTTAAATGTGTATTGTTGAAAAACTTTGGATAACTTGAACAAAAAAAAAATGTTCGTACAAGCTATTAAAAAGCGTACGACTTTCAATCAGAACCTTAAATACTAACCTATCTTATCAGAAAAACATCAGCTTCAATTGAAAATAATTGCAACTATCAGCCTATTTTAGAATTAGACTTGACAAGTTCTCTTGAAGCCATAATATTGAGGAAGATTATCGTTGGCTTTAAGCATCGTTAAAAACGTTAAACGTTAAAAGCTTTTTATAAACACTGCATATTTAATGTATCCCTCCAATTACCAATCACAGATCATTCATATCATCATTTTGCTATAGCAATATTTAAAAGTTATTCATTGCCACCATACACATTCCACCATATCCCGGTTCAATTTTTAATTTGCTGACCGCGTCAAACTTCATCTCGCAAGACCAAAAATATATTAGGCCTTTATACATGTACAATGATTACATCGAGACATGAAAAGTAAAAGAGATGTTAAGTGACTCAGAACAAAAATCGAGACAGAGAGAGAGTGCTTTAACTCATAATGTCTTACAACAAATGACGTTTGGAAAGCATAATAAATGAGGATGAAAAATCTGCTGATTAACATATATTTAAGTAAAACTCAGTGCAAAATAGTCAAATGCGTCGCCAAACGTCACTTTGGGTTAAATATATTTATTGTGTTATTGTCAAGCATTTAATGCATTTTCATAGGTAATATTTTTGCAAATTAGCGCTCTAAAACGTGGTTTCCAAGATCCAGTGCGTTGAAGATTTGAAAAAATGGTTTTTGACAGAGGAAAAAAATAATAGCAAACGGCCACCGAGGGTAAGATATATGAACAACATATATATGTTTGTTATGACTGCCTAATAAATATGTATAAATCTATTCTGTTCCCTGGCAACGATCAAAGCTAATTTGTTCTTATTTTAATGATTTTTCGGCATGTAATAAGGTTTTTATTTTTTTACTCACAAACGAAGAAATAACAAGAGATAAAAAAAGTTATTAGCTGCTAAATCCGAAAATATTTCAAAAAAGTTAGTTTCGTACATTTTTTATTTAATTCATGAGAATGCCCCCCCCAGACACAATTGGTAATTATCTTTTAGTTAGTGCTAATCTAACGTTTTATTGTAGAAAGCAATACTACCAAAATTTAACAGAATCAACACAAGTATGTTTGGGATACTAATAAAAAACTTTTTTTGGAATTTCGATATCCTGTATCTTGAAAAGCAGACGTTTTAGGGCACATGTCAATATAAACTTTTCTACTAGAATTTGGCTCAGGAATGCGCCCTTGAAATTGCGGCCTCTCATTAAGTATTATAATTTCGCATCAATATGTTCCGTTCCACTTGAAAAAACAATATTTTAGGTTTAGTACAATATGCGTTTGATGACAAAAGTAATTACAGAAACACTGCACAGTTTCATTATTTGTAAAAATAAAACAACTGATCTTGCTCCTTACCCAAGTTCATTTCTATTTACAATTTCGCATCAATATGTTCTATTCAACTTGAAAAAAGTAGTACAATCTGCCTTTGATGATCAAAGTAATTACAGAAACACTGCTAAGTTTCATTTGTAAAAAATAAAATAACTGAACCTAAGATCATCCTTGACAACTGTCCATTATTCATGTAGTTCATTAAGCTGCAACACAAAAATTATGCGAAGCAACCTCCACAATGATATCATCTGTAATCAGTAACCTTGGTGAGAAGTAAGACTTTACCTTTGGGAGGATTATATTTCTCTACCGTGGTTTGGAGGTAACATATTTCTATTTTTAAAATTCTTAAGTTTTGGACCGCCGCTTCCACGACTTTTTTAGCTCAGTAATCAACTGAAGTACTATATATAGGCTACATAAAATTCATAGCCGATTGGGTCCACAACAAATAGCAGATTCAAAGACTTAACCAAAACGAAAATATCCATCAACATTGTTCGCACATGGTGACCGCTGTTATTTATATTTTTTGATGTAAACGCTTTCTTGTTTCCACTTCATAGCTAGATTGTTGAATAAATTTTTGTCATACTTTTTTGGCATTCTGCTGCTTAAACCTAGATTAGCTCAGATCATCCAGCGCGGGTGGTAACGCAGTACGTAAAAGTTGGTTTATTCACGTCAAAGTTCTTTGTCTTCCAACTCTGGGCATGAGTCTACGTCAGGTCTGGTTCTGTTCTCAAAACGTAAACAAAATTTTTTTCAAACTGATCCAGCATCCAGAGTTTTTCCAGTTTGCAAGTAATTATTATTTATATTACGTTATTAAACTCTAAAATATTATGAAAATGCATTATATGTAAGTTTTTACTAAGAGTCTCTGTATCTGTTTTTGTTCAGAAGATATACGTCATTTCCTTTATCACTGAGCAATTGTCAAGAAATATTCGAAATACTCGTTTGCATTAAATCTTTGTTGCTTTTCGGTTGTACATGGAGTAAATACCAAATAAATTTACTCAAAAATAACTGAAAACGTCGAGACGAGAATTTGATTGCCCTTTGTTGGTTTTATTTATAACGTCTACGTCTACGTTTTTAGTTACACGGTTGATCAATATTTCTTGTTGATGAACTTTGAGTGGTGTGAAATACCATCATCATATATTCCATATACATTCCCTCTCCCTCACCAGAGACCAATTGTTGATACACAATTTAGTTTTAATTTTGACAGCATTCTAATTACATATATTTTTCCCGATTCATTTTTCTCTATATGTATCCTTATTAAGTTTAAGCCGTATTAGGTTAGATACTCGATACTTTCAGGATGCCATTTTTAGGTTCCCGTGTGCCCTTGGGACTTAGTATTAATATTCTCTTTCAGGCATGCCAACAACGGAATATCCCTTGATTTCGACCCACAATGTTCCCGCACAGGGTGTGTGGGATGAAAGTAGAATGATTATGATTTTATGTTATGGATCCCATTTTCCGTCATGTCCTTGCTTACTTCAAGCAGTTTTATCAACCAACCCTTTGACATAACATTCCATTGGATTATTGGAGATGTTCTGACAAAGCTAAACGTTAAATTGCTTGAAATATTCATCGGTTCCTTTAAAGATGCCTCTCTACGTATAAAATATCGATAATGACAAACATTTAGAGGACGAAGAGTAATATTGCATGCTTATGGTTAGAAGTTTAACATAAAACATAATATTCTTATAAGAAATTGCATATTAACCATATTGTGTAGTTTTTAAAATACCATATTTTTAGATTATATAAACCAACAGGATACCAATGTGCTCTTATATATCTTTGTTCAAGATTTGCAAGGACCTTCTCGCGTAGCCTACGGTAAATATTATGTTTCCCTCTAAGAATGCCCCACCAATGAGATCTCAATATATCCGTTTGCTTTAATTTCATCGTCTGCCAGAACTATGTAGAGTAACCTCCAATTTACCTCTAAGATTGCAAGAGATATACAGAATATTCATAATAATCTACTGTAGTAAGGGTTTGAAGTCTACGTTATGATGACCATATTAATTGGTCATTGATAACTTGAAAGATAGTTCGTGTAATAAGTTTATAGTTGTTAATTACGTTTATCTTCCTTCTCCCTTCTTTCACGTCATCTTTCCAGGTTTACCACTCTGCAACCAATTTATTCATTAATGTTTTTTTGGTTACCTTATAACTAGTGGTAAATGTGAGCTAAATAATATGGGGCTATCTTCTAATTTGTATTTTTGAGTAATAGGGTCACTGCGCCGGTTTTCGACCATTTAACCTAAGCTTCAACTTCAAAGACCATACAATTCCGTAAAAATAATTTGCCTTGAATCAGTTTGTCATCATAAGAAAGCTTGACACTCTAAGTATGAACTAAATGAATTATTTTAAATAGACCACCTGAGACTTTTAAGTAATGAAATTAAATAAAACATGAATTTTCACCTGTTTTCGACCACCTACTTCTTGATCTCGACCACTATGATCGAGAAACGGATCGGTTTTCGACCACAGTTTTCGAGAATACCGATTAGTTTCTGGCCAGAGTTTACTTATGATTAGGTAGATAGTTTATTGACATAAAGTTAGAAAAAATGTAAAACATGTTAAAACATAAAATTTATTTCATAGAATAAATAAGAAATAGAATAAACCTCATTGAAAAGCTTTTAAACAAACAAAAACACAAAAAATTATTAATTAGGAACAAATAAAATAAACATAATCTTTGGTAGATGCTTCTTCATATAACATTCCGTAGAATTCTGTGCATTTCATATGGTACCATCTAGGACATTCATCACATCCAATGTTTCTCTCATCATCCTCGATATCACTGATCAGGTCTTCATTGTAACTTGAACACTTAATTGGCTCACTTTTCTTGCCTGTACATCTTCGCTTATTTCTTCACTAGTTTCGCTCTGTACTTTTTTATATTGTCGTCTACTCTTTTTATTTTATTTTTTTGTTCTTTAGCTTTTAGTTTTTCTTCCCTTCTTGATTTAGCCTCCTCGAGTCTTCTTTTTTTTGCATTAGCTTTTTCATTGTAATGCGACCTCCATGCAGGTGAAGATATGGCACTTATATATTTTTCTTTTTTTTGCTTCCTATTTTTATTTCTTCTGAGTACTTCAGATATCACTCAAAAGACGTTTCTTCATTTTGTTGTGAAGTCTGTTGCTCAATCGGTCTAGTTGATGGTAATTTATTAGCTTCAGACGATGCTTCCAATGCTGTTTTAATTTGGTTGCTGCTTGTTGACGCCAACTGAGAAAAATCGTCAGGTTTAATAATGACTTGCGAATGTATAATAATTTGCTGGTTTTTTTGAGACGATTCAAAGGTTTGTGAAGAACTTTTTGAAATTGTCGGCTCTACTGTTTTATCATCTGGATAAATATTCTTCTCAACCGCATCTTCTTCTTCTTCTGAGATTGGTGATGAACACTTAGAAATTTTCGGCGCTATTGGTTTATCTTGTGGATAAATATTCTCCTTATCTGCATCTTCTTGAAGGACATAGATGTTTTCATAAGGTATAATGACTGCATTGTCTAATGGCATTATGCTGCCCACGTCTAGCCTCTGATTGTTCCCATTTTCATAACATTTTATTTCATTTAAAACTATGTCAATTCCTTTAAGCGATAGTCTCTCTCTCATACTAACAACAACTTTTTCTGCAGCTCTGGGCTCCTCGTTTGATATTATACCAGTTTCTACAGCATTACAAGCATTTCGTTGTTCAATAAAATTTTGAACGCATTTGGAATAATCTACGTTGTCCGGATTCAAAGGGAAAAGGCCACATTTCCTAAATCTATTAACAATGCTGTTTTCCATTTCATAATTGTCTAAAGTTGTTTGAAACACTTTACAAAAATTAAATTTGTTAATGGTGGCATTGATATTTTCTGGAAGTTGTTGCCATTTTCTTACTGTATTCTTCCATTCCGCTTTTAGTGGCCTAAAAACGCTGACGTCGACAGGTTGTAATATAAGGGTTGTATTAGGGGGAAGCGCGTAAAGAATTATTTCGTTCTTTCCGCAGAACTCACTCAGAGGCAAAGTCATGTGTGACCTATGCCCATCCAAGAATAGAATAAGTGGCTTTGGGATTTGATTTTCTTCTAGCCACTTGTTAAAATCATTCGCGATATACTCAAAAAATACGTCACCTTCACCTTTCATCCAACCACTATCCGACCTTCCCAGAATCCACTGATCAGGCATATTTTCTACTAGGGCTCTGGGTGGTCTAACATAAGGAAATACAACTAATGGAGGTGCTATTTTCCCATCTGCAGAAAATTTTACAAGAACGGTTATATTATCTATTTCTTGGCCCAATTTTATATTGTACAGATTTTTGTAGCTCCTCCGAGCCAATACCTTCCCCGTTTTTGGTCAAACTGAAAAACCAGACTCATCAGTGTTGAAAATTCTTCTTGGATTTTCCATAATTTCATTTAGATCATTAGATCTTAAATATTCCTTTAAATCTCGAAACCATGCTCGTACATATTGTTCAGTAATAATTGCGCGTGCTTTATTTACACTTTCAGCTTCTCTCAAGCTGAGTTCTGGGCGACGCTTCAAAAAATTGAGATACCACTTTTGTCCTGGTAGTCAGTGCTTTTTGAAGGACATCTTCTGTATATTTAAAAAAATGTCTTTTCTCTCCGTTTTATTATTTTTAATTTTTTCAATTTCTCTTCCTTCCTAGATGGCATTTCTGTGAATAGAACCGAATACAGGGTAATAAGCAGATGGTCGGAAGCAGGCTTAATCTCGACCACGTCCTTAAAATAAAACGAAGGGATGTCATATTCATGGTCGACAACTGGACTAAACATTCAGTATATATAGACAGTTAATATATACCAGAGTGAAACAGCATCTTTAAAACCCATAAAATAGAAAAAGATTCAAAAAACATATTCTCAATTACCGTACATTAAAAATCGGTTTGACAATGAGTTTATTCCATATTTTTTTAAAATATATAATTGGTAGTATCGTTGAATTACAAAAGGAATGCGGAACAAATAATATTTAAATTCTTACCGCTTTTTCCGATAGCACATTGCACTAACAATTTTCTATCAAAAGTACCACGTGTTGCAGGTCAGCTAGCTCCTTACTGTTTTATGCTCGCAGGAAAAGGTTACTTTGATTACTACGCTGCTGAAAATATCTGACTAGGTGGGGGAACCATGGTCGACAACAGGGTTAATCTTAAAGAAACAATTACATGCGTGTCTTAGTTGTTTTAGACCAAATTTACTGAAAATGGTCGAAAACGGGGAATGTTCGGGTAACCGGCGCAGTGACCCTACTACATCTTACCTATTCAAGTTACTTTGTGTTATTGATTTAGTCCATAATGAACGTATGGAAGAAATTACACCATTGTAAATTGCGATTCTTGTAACATTCTATCAGTTTAGTTTGACCAAATACTATTTGTTTGACCAAGTGAAAGTTCGGAAACGGATACAATTTAAAATTGCTCTTTTGATTTGACATACCTGTACATGGAAATTTTGAAATAACGTCTACCATTGAATCTTTAAATTTAAAAATTAATTTTGTCAATTATGAAAGTGCGTCCTCTATCCAAAAAGGTCTTCCTTAGTTTTATCATTTGGTGGTGGGCGAAAAGCAGTAAATAATACGAGAGAAATAGTAAGTTTGTTAGAGAGGTGTCTTGACACCTTAGAGTGGTTATATTATCCCCACGTATCGACCAAGATCGTGTATCTC